GCCTCCCACAGTTCTCTGTCGTCCATCTGCTCGTTAGAAAATCATTTATTCTCTCGCAGCACGATAATCTTTCTAATGTAGACGAATGCTGGATGTCGCTGCTGCTAATTACGCTCATTAAGTAGCTGATGATTTGCTCATCTTGCACAAACGTTAGAAAAAAACTATTAAATTATCACCCGCACACACACAAAGAGACGGAAACAAACTATTGTCCCGTCAGTTTGGTTGTAGCACCGTTCTGGATTATAGCTTAGCTGTGTTAGCTTTGTGTCTCTGCAGCGTTTCTCTGCTTCCATGTCGACATTGAACCGCATCAGCTGAAGGTTTTTCCTGCTCAGAACCGGCCTGTGGTGGATGACTGCAGTGAAAACCATCAGTCTGTTACCCTGTTTGACAGGAATCGCTGCATTTTTCTGATATTTAACAACACAAGTTAAAAGTAAATGTGCATGTTGTCGTTCTCCATCCTTTTTATTTTGGCGCCGATGGTTTTCTTTAACCTTCTCCACCTGTTTGGTGAGCGGATGGTGCAGCGACTTGGAGCATCTAAGAATATCTGCTTGGGGATGAAAATGTAAAAGTTCTGATAGATACGGTGGCGCCATCTCATTTAAAATCATGAAAACAAACAATAAAATGTTTAATCTTGAAGCAGGCAGGAGGCGGGTGGAGGTTTAGATGATCACATTTCTTCATCTGAAGTCTTATTGTCGTTGATCGTTGGTTGTAATTACCACCGTGGTTGTGTTTGTGTTGTTGTGCGTCTCACAGAGGTTTGCGGGAAGTGTGGCGAGGCTCTGTCCAGGACTCAGCCGGCCGTCAGGGCCATGGACAAACTCTTCCACTCCACCTGCTTCTGCTGCATGAGCTGCCAGCGCCCCCTGCAGGGCATGCAGTTCTACGACAGGGACGGAGCGCCGCAGTGTGAGGACTGTTACATGGTGAGCAACCGCACAGACCATAATAATCAGCCCAAAAAGAGTTCAATAACATACATGAAGAGCATTAAACTGACATTGTGGCTCAGTTTCATTTCATTTCAGATGTTTTTAGTCGTGTTGGGACACGATTAAAATAATTAATCTAATTAATTAGAGGCTTTGTAAGTGATTCATCTCAATTAATCACTTTTTAATCAAACAGTAATATTTATTAAGAATAAGAATAATAATGATGCTCATTTTCTTTGTTTTCAGGCCAGTTTTGTGTCTTTGTGGTCATTCTGTGCCTCATATTTGTATTTTTGTCTGATTTCCGTTGCTTCATGTCTCCGTGGGGCAGTTTTGTCTTGTTTCACCTCCATTATGTCACTTTGTGTCTCATTTTGGTTGTTTTATGTCTCTTTGCGACAGTTTAGTTTCTTTGTTTTCGTGCCGCGTCTGATGGAATTTTGGAATAAAACATAAATATAGTGATTTTGATGAAATATCATAACTTTAGACTCAATCAAATCGTCTGAAAGTTGAAAATCTGTTTGTTTTTACAGTTTCTGGCTGATAATAATTCGGCTGATTTTTCCTGATATTTAGCTGGTTTTCTGCCTCCTCTTGTCCTCAGAGCTCCCTGGCCATCTGCTCCAGATGCGGCGAACGGATCACGGATCGCGTCCTGAAGGCCGTCGGTCAGTGTTTCCACGCTCAGTGTTTCCGCTGCAGCACCTGCTCCTGCATCCTGGAGGGGGCGCCCTTCATCACAGACGACAACAACAACCCCTACTGCGTCCAGGATTACCACAGGTTCCTCCTCTGTCCTGATAAAATCTTCTACTTCTGTTGATTTACTATCAGATGAATGGAATACGTTTTGTAATTTGCAGCAGAGTTTGTACTTCACAGATTACACACACTGTAGATCCACCTGAGTCGACCTCTGCAGTGTGTGAATACGACTTTATTCTAACATCTGGCTTCCTCCTGTCTGCAGGCGCTTCTCTCCGCTGTGCGTCAGCTGCAACGAGCCCATCATTCCTGCTCCGGGCAGCGAGGAGACGGTCCGAGTCGTGGCTCTGGACAAGAACTTCCACCTCAAGTGTTACCGCTGCGAGGTGAGAAACACATCAGCAGAGAGGGAGGAGAGCTCGTTAAATCAGAGCTACACGAGATGTTGGAATGAACTCAAACACATCAGGCTGTTTGTTTTTGTGATCGATAGAAAACAGAAAACTTTTTCTTTCTTTTCCATGAAGAGAATCCGGCTGAGAGAACATCATTTACTCTGATTTATGGTTCTCGGAGACACTGAGTTGATCTGATTTATTGAACAGAGTTTGTTGAGCTGCAGCTCCACATGTGGAGCAACACGAGCAGCAGAGAAACTCAGTAAAGGAGGATCTGGCTGCAAAGAGAAACACAAAGTCTGAAAACAGCACCATCTGCTGACGACTGTGAGGCATTTAGGGAACATCCGAAAACCGCAGTGTCTATCGGCGACTTGGAGGCGTTCAGGAAACATGTAGAAACTGTAAAATTTACTGGGAGGTGTTCAGGGACCATCTGAAAACCACAGCAGCTACTGATGACTGTGAGGCGTTTAGGGAACATCTGAAAACTGCAGCATATAGTCAAGACTGTGAGGCGTATACAGAACATCTGAAAACTGCAGTGTCTTTTGATGACTGTGAGATGTTTAGGGAACATCTGAAAACAGCAGCCTCTATTGACAACTGTGAGGCCTTTAGGGAACATCTGAAAACTGCAGTATCCTTTGATGACTGCAAGGCGTTTAGGGAACATCCGGAAATTGCAGTGTCTTCTGATGACTGTTTGGTGTTTAGGGATCATTCAGAAACCGCAGTGTCTACTCATGACCATGAGGGGTTTAGGGAACATCTGAAAACCACAGCATCTACTGATGACTGTGAGGCGTTTAGGGGACATCCGGACACTGCAGCGTCTGTGGATCAGCAGCTGTTCAGCCTGTGACGAGTTTCAATTCAGCCTTCAGGAGATTCTCTGACTTCAGCTGCAGAATATTTTCCGTCTGGTTTTGATGCATATTTGAGCGTTAGAAGGAAAGTAGCTCAACGTGATGCGAAAGCAGAACAAAAAACATTTGGCCTCTAAAGCGGTGAATGTTCGTGATAAATGATCCTGATTCTCATGTTATTCAGTTATATGGAGACATTTCAGCTTCAGAACGATAAAAGCTGCTGTGATCATTTAAATCAGCAGAACAAAGATCTGGATGGATCCAAAGATAAAAACTGTTCTGAATGTTTGTCAGAGTTACACCAAATGAATGTGTTTTCAAGGAAACCTAAAGACGAGCGTCACTTGTTTCTGGCGTCCTGCAGCTCCACGTATTAACCAAACGTTTCCTTCACTCTGCAGGACTGCGCCCGGCCTCTGTCCATAGAGGCAGATGAGAACGGATGCTACCCGCTCGACGGCCGGATCCTGTGCATGAAGTGTCACACCCAGCGGGCCAAGCGCGCCGCGCAGTGATGGGCTGACGCAGCGCCGCCCCGTTGAACCGCCAACCAAATCCAGAAGCACAGAATTCATCCAGCTGCCTTTGCTACAGGGCTTAATTCAGTGTGCTTGTGTGAGTGTGTGTGTGCATGAATGAGTGTGCGCACGAATGAGTGTGTGTGTGTGCAGACTCGGTGTCGTCCCCCCCACGTCTGTTCCCTCGGTGCAGAGGTAATGTACTGCACTGACCTCCAGCCCTCTCTGTGTGAATCGGAGCCTAGTTTTTGTGCCAATTCTATGTTTACGCTAAAATTCCCAGCAGAAGTTGCACAAGAAGATCAAAAGAGCGGTCTGAATTAAAGTTGCCTTTCCTCCGCGCGTCTCGCCTGAATATCCACAGTAGCACCGTGAGCTGAGATATTTCCACGCCGCAGGAGGAGAAAGCTCCCGTTTGTCCGGTTTTAACCCGCTGGTAGAAAAATCTCTCCGTAAAAAAAAACTCCGGCGGCATGTCGAAGCTTTCCTGCCTTTTCCAGTGCTTTTCAGCATCAGCCTCTGACAGCATTTTAAAATCATTTAGGGCTAAAAAAAAAAAACAACAAAAACACACAAACTGCAAACGGTGAATGTTGCTCTTAGTGATTGACGACTTACAGGCATGAATTCTGTCTTGTTGCTTCGTTTGATCTTACAAGATTAGAACAAAAAAAAAAACAGCTGAGATGTCTTCTCAAAAAAAAAAAAAAAAAAAAAAGCTGATTTAATGAGTATTTTTTTAGATGCATGCGTTTGGATGCAGAAATCGTGAACAAGCACAGATTCGATCCCAGCTGGACTCTCATCGTTCAAACCAGCTGAGTTCCTTCAACCGTCGTTGCACATCGTGAAAAAAAACATCTTCTGACTCTGAAGTCGCCGCACATGATGCATTTAGCTCAACGCCAACTAGAGTCATGAAACGTAGCTTTTGATATGCATTTCTTAGAATCTCTTGCTTTAAATAATATAATTTATGGACCTATTTTTATTGAGTATTAACGTGTATCAGCGCTAAGATAACCTGTAGAGGCTTTGAGTAGCAGTTCAAACACAGCGACCAAATATTTCAGTTTGTTGGGATCCAGTGTTCTGACCTTCATCTATGTTTCTGTGTTCGAGCCCAGTGTTTTATTGTTACCACTATACTTTCCATTATTCCACTTTTGTACTATTTTATCTTCTTTTTTTTTTTGCTGTACTGTATTCCACTGATGAACGTGTATTTGGTTTGAACCTGGCGGCGTGCCTTCTCCACTGTTGTTTGCTTTCCGAATCGAGCCACAGACGATAAATCGTAAAAGTCGACCCTGGCGAAGTTGTTATCGCCAGACGGAGCGTCCGGCGTCATCGTATCGCGTCGCGTCGTATTACATGTGGATGTCTTTTCATATAACTTTTTTATACGTTTGATATGTGTGACTGTCTTGAACCATTATTTAGCCCCGACCCTCCATCTTTGGCTGTATCCAGATAAAAACAAATAAAGAAAGATGCTGAATACCAATTGTTTCTGCCTGGTTTTTGTTGAGGTGCAAACCAGACATTTTAGCTCCACGTCACGTTACAGACACGTGAACTCTCGTATCTTTTCCTGAAGCTGTGTTCTTCCTTCAGTTTTCTTCATAAACCTGCTGTTTTGCATCGATCGCTTTTCGTCTTTTGTTTCCGTGGTTCTTTCCGTCCCACCAGTGTGTTCTGTTTGCAGGTTTGTACTGGAGCTTTCTGTGATTCTGTGTCCTCAGCAGGTATGTGCGCTTCTGCAGCTGCACGTTTCCGACCTGCAGCTATCGCTTCCACCAATCAGTCCGTGTTCTCTCGTTTGTTTCCCAACCGGTCGGGGCAGATGTTTTGCCAGCAGTCTCCTGTCTAGCCCCGCGAACTCCAAAACCCTCCTAGCTGGTTTGAAAAAAAATCTGCAGAACGACACAATTTCTCAGCAGAAACTGTAAAAAAAAGAAATTTCCAAACAGTCCTGACATGTGTCGGTCACCAAATCTTAAAATAGCAATAATTTGTCACAATCATTTTATTCTACATGTCTCATTTTAAAAATCGGACGTTTCTGACAGCCTAGCGGTGAAGGACATTCACGTGATCTCAGGAAACGTCGTAACAGAATCATAACCTGCCAAACATGGTGGTCGGAAACACACGATAGCACTCGGGGTTATGCTGATGACAGAGTCTCTGATATCGACTGACGTGGTGGCACGAGTCTGGAGAAGTAAATTAGCCTAAATGCAACCTCTGTTCTCTCCTAAACAATCTCATCACAATGTGTTTCTGTCAAAACAAACTGTACGCTATTCGCTAGTTGCAAAGACAACAGTAGAGAAACGATTTGCACGTTTTACTGGAAAATATGTCAAATTTTCCAATCGTGCAGCTTGTTAGACATCATAACGGGCCAAGACACTGTGTTTTTTTCAGGTAACATGCTGGCGAGAACCCTGATGATCAACCTTTAGCACAAAACTAACTTTTTTTTTTTTTTTTTTCAGCTGAACTGCCGGCAGCGTTTCCGCAAAGCAGAGAAATGAATTAAAAATATAAATAGGTAAATATCTACAGTGTGTGGAGCCTCCATTGTTCCCAGTGTTGCTAACGTCTGGGAACTCTTGGAAACATGTTGGTTCCAGGTTTTCACATTTTTGTAAAACAATTAATCAGACATTTTTTCTGATTTCCATCATTCTGACTGTGTCCTCAAGACAGAAGATGCTTCTGAGTTCTCTCTCCTGCTTCATGGTTGTTCTGGTTCCATAAAGCTGCAGGACTTCATGTTGCAGAGAAAAATGAGCCACAGTGAAGAAAAACACACACACCCAGAAACAGGTCAAAGTTTGGAGGTGAAAGAGTTTTTTCTCTGCTGTCAACAAAGTGCTGCTCAGAGCTGATGTTTTGTTTATCATGTATTAACATTGTTCTGCGTTAATAACTAACAGTGTTTGGTCTTGACCTTAATATTTAAACTTGTTTGATGGATTCATAACACGAGTCATGTTGCTCTACAGTGTTTGTAGTTTGAAATGTTCCACATTAAAACTGTGACTTGACTCATTTAAGTTGCACCAAAACAGGAGTTTTTCATGTTTTTATTTTCTCTCTGGTGTGCGTTCGGCCTCCATGTGACGTCCCTGAAACGTGTTTTGTGCAGCCTCTCGGCGATGCGTCACGCCGCGAGCTGCTCTATCAGCTCCCAACAGCCATGCGTTGCACTGATAATGACGACAGCACATGTATGTGCGTCTGAGCACGCTCAGTGTCCGGGACAGAGAGCTCAGCCTCATCCAGAGGGCAACATGTCGCTGTTGACTTCTGCTGTGAAGCCGCACACAGGAGGAAACCTGAGAACACATGTGTTCACGGTGACACACATGTTCCGGGTCCACAAACCACAAACCGTCCTCAGCAGAACCACAATCTGCAGCCGATCTGGGTTCTGAGGGAGAGTCAGACGCTGCTGCAGAGCTGTTCTTATCAGAGCCGACAAGTGAGTGATGAAGGCAGATAGTGAGGCGAGCTGACAGCTGTTTGACGGAGGAGCTGCACATGTAGAAGTCAGAGATGCAACGCTGGAAAACACACTTCAAGAATGAGTGAAACTCCAACAGAGCTTGAGGTAAGAAAAGTGAGCTGTGCTGTTTGAAGCTGTTTACTGAGTTCACATGGAGACGAGACGTCTGTTTGTTTCAGCTGCTGGAAACTTCAGAGTTTCTGGGAAACCGTTTGATTCCAGTTGTGTGATTTTGAAGAGATTGGATCTGGAAAAACTAGACCGTTTAAATGTTTTTTTATCAGCATTTTCCCAAGAAATTCAGTTTGACAGACGGTCGAGGTTTGTTCTGGCCATAATGACATGAACAAGAGACGAAACACAGTCAGACGTTGTGTTTGAGATGTTAGGAAAAGTCTTCACTGTTTCCACATTTTTCCGAACATAAAAACGTCCAATTTGCTTCGTCCTCTTCTTCACTCATCAGAGGCTTTA